AACTATTATTCAATTATTCAGAGTAAGACTTGATCATGACAGAAGTTTTATTTTAGTTATATTCCAATGATAAAATCTACTATTCAACAATAATAATTATTGATTCGTTCTCAATATATTATCGGATTGTTAATGAATTTACTTATCCTCAAACATTGAATTTCATATCAGAATTCATTCTAGAAACGTGAAAATAATAAGATATATGATTCTTGAACCAAGTTTATGTTAGGTGAACGTACCTTCATATCGAAAAATTTGAATCCTTGGATTTTTTGTGCCTTTTCCTCCTTTATGCATATAGCGTAGCGTTTTATCGTGTTATGCATAGCTATGAAGTATTTAAACTTGTATTCATTAAGACTGATATTTTGTTTTCTAATTATCATGATCTACACATTTGGGATAAGGACTCCACTGTTTTTTGGCGCTGTTTCATGTGAAAATGTAAACATGTTTTACATGGCTGTGAAAGGAATCTCCAGCTTTATTCAAAATTATATATAACAAATATGGCGCCCATGAGAAGAATGAGAGTTGGAGATCTCTGAAAATGATGATTCATTACTTACTCACACGAAATTTCAGTATCATTCTTCTATATGGCATTGATGAAGAAAATAAATCGAAACCAGGTTTAGCAGAATATTCCAGGAAGGGCTGACCTTTTTCGAAATTCCAGAACTTCATAATGAACAGGTCAAAGAAGTGAAAATTACGCAATTTTTGCCTAATCTCATCAACTTTCTATATCTTGCCCTTAAGAAAGTAGCATTACTGTCCCTATCAAATCGTTGGGGCCCTGTATACCGGCTAAAAACACAATCAGTTGATTTTCATTCTACACTTTCGGCATTTGAATCAAATAAGATGAACCAACATTTTCCATGGAAAATTGGATATCAATCCCGATTTCACTGGAAATAGATAGAGAATTTTGAATGGAATCCATTCATGGAATTTTGAAGAAAGTTCTAGTGATAGAATATCATCTGGAAGAATTTATAAAAGGAATCCTGATTGGCGATGAATCTAAACTTTCGACGTGTTTCTTCAAGAACTTATCAAAATGCTTCGTTTGTTTGCTATTCCATCAGGTTGCTTGCCGAGAATTCGATCGATGACGTCACAGTGTCGCTATATTTATTCAAGAAACAGCAACCCTAAGAACCAATGTTTCTTGTGAAATTAATTTTTTCTGCGCATGGCGTAAAACTATCTAATGAGTTCAATTCAAAATCATCGTCCTAGATCTATTTCTGGCAAAGCCGGAAGTGATATTCAAATTTCTTGGAAAATGTGTATTTTGAGGAAATATATATTTTTGATCCATAGTTTAAAATAAGGAACAACTGAATGACGCTCATCAGGAGGAAGGTGAAAACCTGACTTATCATAATGTAAATGCAATTTCGTTCATGCTGCCATGCATGGATATTCTGGATAGTGTGCAAATTATCGTTTTTGTATACAGAAGCATAAGCAATAAAGAGTTAATCATGGAAGTTCGAGGGAATTTTGTTCGATAATAACCTAAAACGTGATAGTACATTTTCAATTTAGAAAAAGAATTCAGGTTGTTTGGAAGTGTTTCCACCTCTAGCTATATTATAGATCTTATCTACAAATATTGAGTCTTGCATGCATGGCTAGCTCGATTTCCAACAGTTAGTGATGGACATTATTGTGATGAATCGAATAATAAGAGTTGATGATGACAGTAATTTGGAGTGAATATTTGTCATCCCAACGTCTTGTCAAATTCAAATATAGGTAGGTGTTCGTTTCACTAAAGCACAGCACAATCATATACGTATTAATAAACAATACGGATCATAACGGGTGTCAGGATGAAGCCAAAAATATGAAACAAATGAATATCCATAAGAATTTGGTGGCATGATACGTAGTCATCAAAGACATGCGTTTCGGTGGACAATGACGTTTACTAGCCTTTCAATCAAAGCAGTATGTGTCTGATCGTATCTCACTTTTCCTTATGGATAGTCATTTGTCTTCAAAAATCGGCTTCATGTTTCGCTATGGAAACAGATAGAGATTATCCGTATTGATTATTAATACGCATATGATGAGCACAATACACAATAATAATGTTCGTGGAATATACGCAAATTCGGATGACTCATTTTATATAGGGTTCGTTCCTCGAATCAACTTGGTTATTTTGGTTAGTAGTCTTATGTTCCGTGAATATGACTTGTTTGGTTGGTTCCTGAAAAAAAGGTATTTACGGAACTCGGTTGCTGAAAATGCAGTTAATTCACTGTCACCAAAACGACCGTGGATTTTATTTGATGAGTTCGATAAGTTTGAGTTGACGTTGACGATTATTGATTGATTATTCGCGATAGAAAATAAGCGTACGCTACCTATCGCAGTTTTTGAAAGCAGTCAAAGCACCATGTTTACTTCGTTTTCATTGGATCACATTTGTTTTTCCTTCGTGCTTATTGGTCACATCCATTAGAAAAAATTGCTATCAAAATAAGTTTAGAATTCTTCATTGAATATTGTAATTTCGATCGAAAACTAAGTTTATATTATTGTTCTTCGAGGAACAGATAATTGCGCAATTCGTCCAAATCTGTTTGTCATGTCTGTTTGTGAACGCATATATTACATGAATACGTACTGATATGTAGAGATAATTGGAGCTGAAGAAAATATAGAGTGTGTATGACACAAGTCATTCTGATTGTATGGAAAAAAAGTTGACATGAAATATTGAACCGGATTGGAAGATAAATACATATCATATTCACGATTGCGGTGGTCTGAAAATTTGGAAGTGAATCTGAATTTTCCTTGAGGAATTCATGCGTCAGAATCCGATTCTGAAGATAATAAAAGTTAATGAACTCGGCCACAATAATCACGGAAGAATTTTCAATTTCAAACTAGTGATGTTCAAAGCACTGCACTATCTCATTATATGGAATTAATTTCCAAGAAGCTGCTTTCCGATATGCAATCAGGATATCTCTCTGAAAACCTGTATTCAATGTTTTTTGTGCTATGCTGTTTGTGCTGCCTGCTGCGTCACCTGCAATGTGCATTGTCTGCGTCTCAATAAGCGCTCGAATTGTCAACTGAGTTGGTGTCGTATACTAGGTGTTCCCGAAATTGAAGCGATCAATACAATAGATGATAGTAGGCCAAAAAACAAAACGGAATGGAAATTTAAATATTTGTCGGAAAACAATTATTTTGAAAGATATTGAGCTTGCCTGAAAATTTGTGCAAATGATTGATCAGAGATTAATAGCCCAACCCACGCGTTTGCTTCCGGCGAGATCACAAACACCGGAATTTTGCAATGCTGCCGGGTGTTTAATAATAATAATAATAATTATGTCTCATAGAGCACCTCATTCTATTCAAATGATTGTGGAGTCTATGAATCTCCTGCAGAATAATTAATCCCAAATTTTTCGTCGCAGAGCGTTATTGGATTTGGATTGGATAAACATCGATATATTATCGATGAATCGATGAATTTCTGTAGTTATATCAGAGACTGAAACCTGTGGCACGAAGATACACTACACACTTACACACTGTTTTACTACTAACCAAACCAATTATTTCAAGCCAAGACTTGTGTTTCGCTAACTATGTTAGCATCTTCAGGAGAAGATTGAAACTGAATGTTTTATCCAAGTGTGTTACCTATGAGTAAGGGTATCTGAATCTGGAACTGTCACCTGATCGTTTGATCTGGTGTTGATATATGTATCATTATATACATTGTTTATTTGTATTGCGGATTGTCATGTAGGTATCATTAATATTGGAATTCATGATAACTTTGAGATTACCAAGGGTGATAGCTTTTGTATCATTTGCTATTACTATCGTGGAATGAATGTTTGTCCGTGAATCTGAATCATTATAATGAGATAAATCCCACGAATATACCAGTAACAAACAATATATCTCAAGAAAACATAGATATGTCGTTCGAAAATTATTGTCATATCTTTTTTATGTTTTGGTTCCCACGAAAAGGGATATTCTGTAATGTTCAGAGAACATCGTGAGAACCAAGGGAAATAAGGTAGAAGTTGGTGTTCTTCTCAAATTTCTGAAGGTTATATGCCTCGGGGAACACCTCCCTTGGCAATGTGCTCCAGAACATCGATGTTCGTTGGATGAACGAGTCTTCGGAAAGAGATCTTCTGCAGGTCCTCAAAGAGGAGTGCGACGGGTTAATCTCGTGGGGACTGCCAAGAGAGGAACAATTGTTGATATTTCAGAAGAGCATCGTCCATGTAAATACCTTCAAAATATATAATTATCGATATATGTACCTATCATGATATTCAAACCGAGTAATTTAAATCTGAGAGCCACGACTGGACTCTCAGAATCTTCAGGAAATGATATACGCAGAATGTTTAATTGGGGCAAAGTTGTGCATTGAGGTGCAGAAACTTTCAAATATCTAGGTATCTCAAGTGATCAAAGAATATCTAAAAAGTGCAGTGGGAAGGTCTCATTGTGGCATTCAACTCTATTTATTGTTTTTTTTTCCTTGATAAAAAAATAAGGTGTATATAGGGGTGGTCTTCCTCGATGAATATAACCCTGTGATACTTCTGTTTCAAATACGAAATTCAACGATATACGGCCTTGAGAGTCTCTATATACATGAAATTTCCCAAACGATAATATACCTATATATATTGAAATGATATCCTCTTCTCATTTGTGAAAAGAAGAGTAAGAAATATTTCATCTCATCGAGACAGTATATCAGAGGCTCATTCCATGTAATTGGTAAAACATTTCTGTTCTGTTTTTTATACAAATATCGAGAACTCATCTCAAGACAAAGTATTTGAAATCTTTCCAGATATTATCACTCACTCTCGATGTCCTTATTCCTTCCAATGTGAAACACCTTATATAATATCTCCATCTTCATTCTGATTCGGGGTTGACCTAAGTATATATACCAGTTTTCCTTTTATTTACAGAAAATGCGACTAGACAGTGTCTGCCGAATGCGACATGGACCAAACCGGACTTCTCGAGGTGCAAAGAAATCGTTTCAATGTCTGACGACGTGGAAATCCACAAGGCAATTTACTTCGCAGGATATACCTTGAGCCTTCTGACTCTACTTGTAGCAATAGGAATCTTCACACATTTCAAGTGAGTGACGAGAATCTCTTCGGCTGACGTAAGAATCTCATACAGAGTTGAAATACGAAATATCATGGATACTTGAACTGGAATGGAATGTTATTAACTAGAGGACAACTAGAACGTCAGAATATTACGAAGCCCTGGAAGGGACACATAAAATTAAAAGAATAAAACTCTTCTAAATTCTGAGTTATAAGTCGGAATTTAAATCCGACTTATATCTCGGAATTTTACATCCAATATTCCGAGTTATAACTCAGAATTTCAAAATTACGAGATATAAGTCGGAATTTTGATGTGAAATTCCGTGCAATTAGTCAGAACTTTGATGTGATATTCTGAGTTTTATCACGGAATTTTTAAATTCCGAGTTATAACTCGGAATTTTGAAGAGTTGTTTTTTTTTTATTCCACGTGTCCTTTCCAGGCCTTCGTAGAATATAGAGTATCAAAATAAAAGTAAACTATAGAAAAACATTTCATAAGAATGGTAATTCGTAGGGAACGTTGTTGACAAGATCTGTTTTATTTTGATTTGACGTGATTTGACAAAATGCAATCGATCAGAATGGTATTTAATTAGAACCGTATTCGATCAAAAGAGTAATTTATCCGAACCATATTCCACCGCATGACGGTAATTCATAATAATTTCATTCTGTCGAAAGGATATTCTATCAGAATCGTATTATACTGTAGATTCTATCAATTAGAATAAAGAGATTCAGCCGAACCCTAGTTTGAAGTTGATCATAACAGAAATTCGAAGTGTCGAAAGGTAACTCAAGAGAACCTTATTTCATAGCATCAGTATTTCGTATTTCGTCATAACCTCACACAATCATCAGACATTTTTACTAGACCAATAAGATTAGATCCGAAATTTCCAGGGGCTTACCCAACGAGCAAGTCGGTTTTTTGTATGAAAAAAGTCACTCTGTTATGTTTTCAGGCTCTTCTCCAATATTCAATAGATGAACTTACTAAATATACAACATTTCAGTCTCTTGCTATTTTATCGTATCTTCCTTCGTTTTCGAGAAAAACAGACAATATCATGCCTCGGTATCACAGAAAAAATGTCGGTAGTGAAGTGAATATGAAACGTTTAGTTATTATGGGCGCCAGTCACAACATTCATCAAATTATTCTAAACTATATGTATATACTATTTTGTAGTGGTAATAATTGATTAAGTATATAGTATTATATAATGTTGTAGTGGTATCATTATATTTATGTTGTGACTGGCGCCCATTTCACCAAACTTTTGGTAATTACTACTGACTATTTTTTCCAGTCTATATCTCTGAACTCCATATATAAGGAAGAATAAAAATGTTCAGATATGACCTATATCCAACAATTTATTGCACATCATCATTAAGGAAATCAAAGAACCATATGGAGCTCAATATTCTTTTGGAAATTTGAATAGGATCTCAAAATTCAATGAGAAATATTTTTTCAAGATATTATTGAAAAACCCATTCGTTCTCAAACTATATCTCGGAAACGAAGAATTTTTGGACACATTATCTTATGAACTTTTTCCCATATTTTGTTGAGAGAAATCTCCCGTAGAGCCTATTATCACCAGAATTCTGATGCACCCTGTGCATGTTTCTTTTATTTTTTATGTTCACATATTTCATATAACATGATGAATAGGTATTTATATCTGCGGACATGTTTCTATTTGACGTGTGTATGATGAAAGGAATTTTTAAATGCACTAATATATTCTATTCTATTCAATTCTATTCCATTCTGATTGAATTTCCCTCTCTGATATACCGAAGTAGTTTCTCGCGTTCAGAAGTGACATGCGGTCACCCAGCAAACATTGATAGATAGATAGATAGATAGATAGATAGATAGATAGATAGATAGATAGATAGATAGATAGATAGATAGATAGATAGATAGATAGATAGATAGATATTTATTTCCATACTAATAACATTGAATTAGTTGATCGTCAGAGAAAATAGTACTATACAAAACAAAAGTGTATATAATCACAAAACTACAAAACTGCACAAATAATATAAAAAGTAAAAAGTATAACTAGGAAAGTGTCTATCACAGAAGTTCGAGTTCATTCATGCTCAGATCAAGATACTCTTTGATCGTATAAAAGCAGTTTTTCAGTAAGAAAGCTCTGATTTTATTCTTGAATTGATAAAAGTTCAGGCACCTTACCTTATAAGGTATCTTATTGTAGAGGTGCAGATTCACAGAGTTCCTTTTTGACATCTGTAACCTGAGCTTAGGTATTATAATCAAGTTGCCATTGCGAGTAGAATAAGGGTGCAATTCGGATTGAACCGTATAATTGTTTTTAGTATTATGGATTTCGAGTAGAGATTTATAAATAAAAAGTGTAGGAAGTGGCATAATTTGGAAACCCACAAAAAGAGGGCGACAGTGCTCGCGGAAATGTACTCCTGCCATTACTCTAATAACTCTTTTTTGCAACATGAAAGCTTTATGAGAATGACAGGAGTCACCCCATAGTAAAATACCGTAAGATAAATTACTATGGAATAACCCATAGTAACAAGTTCTGAGAACATGTGAACTGACAATATTCCTCAAACGTCGGATCAGAAAGGTGATACTAGATAGTTTCTTCGCTAGTGATTCGATATGAGGAGCCCAGTTGAGCCTATCGTCTAGTTGCACGCCAAGTATCTTCACACTATCGCCTTGAGAGATATTTGATTTCGAAGAAACCAGGATAGATTGATTTTTTTGTAAGTTAATTTCGAGTTTGTTACAAGTAAACCAAGTTTGAGCTGAATTCATAATATCTTTTGATTGATTGATACATGGTCCATCACTTTTATAGCAATGTCACCCCAGTAGACTATTTTTCAAAGGTAAATCACAAAAGTTGCCCACAAGCCGACTTAATGCCAATATTGACAATGCTGTACATCCACTTATTGCTTTTTCATTGTTGGTTCAGTATTGACTGAATGACGTATTTTCAGTCCATTTCCAATGAAAATCAAGTGGTTTATTTCTACACGAGTAATTTCGAGGTCACGTATTGAATTCATTATTACACCAATAATGATAATAATAATTATTATTACAAAAAAACTTCTCGTATTTAATTATATACAAGGTGTTTCAGTTTTTTGTAGCAGGACTTTAACAGCTTGAAGAAGACATTTTCCAAGATGAAAATCTCATACAAACATATATGCGTAGAAGCTTCGTTTCCGATTTTTTTAATGTTCTTTGAATTTTCTCCAACAATTGTCGGAATAATTGATTGAAATTTGGTACACCTAATACCCTCTAAGAACTCAATATTTGAGGCTATTGAGCGTTCTTGAATACCTACAGCGTGATAGACTTTCAGGGGTCGTACCCAATTTAACCCTGTAGAATTTTTTCGCGTGCCTTCTCTGCTTTCAATAGATTCAGATTGTCCTCTCAATTTGGAAACTTTTTTCCCCTTTGTAAATTTTTCGAAAACTGTATGGATCTCGAGATAAATGCCATAAATAAATTACTTGTAATAAAACCGTTATTTCTCAAACACACTTATTTGACATTTCCTAAACATTTCATTGGAAAATGGAATGACCGAAATCTTCCATACCGAATGAAATACTGTTGCAAAATCAGATTGAATTTTTTGAACACCAATATGGAAAAACAAAGAAAAAATGATTTTATTTTAAAAAACTTCTCTAACTGGATTGCAATATCTGGAATTGTATCGTAGAAAATTCTAGGACACCCTGTATAACTTGAAACTGGTTAAACTTTCGATATCAAGGACTGTATGACACACGGTCCAGGCGCTATACATCGCTAGACTGTCGCTTCTGACGGTTGAGGTGTTGTGAGTTTTAATAATTTAATCTCTTGAACGGCAGTTCTAATTTTATCAGTACCCTTAAAAGTGGTTCGGATTCCACTTTCATTCATCTCGAAATCCATACAGTTTTCGAAAAACATACATGGGGACAAAAAGTTTCCAAATTGCAGAGATAATCTGAAACTATGAAAGAAGAGGCGGCATGCAGACAAAAAAGTTTTACAGGGTTGAATTAGGTACGACCCCTGAAAGTCTATCACCCTGTAGGTATTCGAAAACGCTCAATAGCCTCAAATATTGAGTTTTCGAAGTGTGTTAGGTGTACCAAATTTCAATCAAATATTCCGAAAATTGTAGGAGAAAATGAAAAAAAAAAACCATAAAAAAAAATCTGAAACTTTGACACCCTGTGAATAGGAAACGAAGCTCCCACGCATATATGTTTGTATGAGATTTTCATCTCAAAAAAATATCTTCTTCAAGCTGTTGAAGTCCTGCTACAAAAAACTGAAACACCATGTAAGTATATCAGCCAAGAATTCACGAATTCAGCTTCTGTTGATTGATATTGTAATTTATAGAATACCTTAACATGGCCAAAACTTGGGACCTCCTCTTCTTTGGTATCTCGAATGAACCATTCATGGAATTCAAGTTAGCTATAAATAATAACTGCATATCACCTAGCCTGCTGCAACAATAGTCAGGTAGAAACAAAGACTCAAGTCCGAGGTTGAAGTTCCTAGTTTCCTTTCATGACTGAAACTTAATGGTAGAGATACTATAACATATCACGATGGATCAGATAGAGTAGGCCCTGGATGGATGCTTTCGAAGAAGATTATCAGTTTATATACAACTGAATGCGTTATTTTGATTCGATGAGATTGAATAATAATGCACTCACATATAACTTTTTCTATTTATTCACTTGTTTACTCCACATCAAATGACGGTTCATGCGCAGAAGGATGAATGAACAAATCAGAATGAAGTACCTTTGTCGATTGTCGAAAAAATGCTGTCAATAAAAAGCATCATATAGGCTGATGGTCCATTATCATTTTATTGAAGACTGAATGACATTGAGGAAACTAAATTATTTTTATTATTCGTTCTAACAGTACTGGTTAAGTGATCTTTGTGAAATGGATTATACCTATATTGATTACCTAATGCCCTAAAAATAGTGTGATCCTGATCGATAGGAAATACACTATTGTACCAGGACAATGCATGTGCAACATACGTATTATATGATTCAAACTGTAGTTAACATGTACTTCTTCATCACCGGAAGATAGTGCCAGCAGTATACCATCGATCAAATCGATGGGCCATTGTATCGCCAGCTATGTCGTGTTTGCTGGGTAGAAGCATATTCCTGTTATTTGGAGCATAACAAAGTTATAATTGATGAAATCTACCGAATGATATATCACGCATACATCAAAAGCGCCAAAGAGTGAATCATATCATACAATTATCACGGCGAAGAATAGATATGATACTACAAGAAGGCACAGAGGCGTTGAGTATAGAAAACGAACACCAAATGTTGCAAAGAACCTGACAACTCAAAGAGATTTTCACATCACAATTAAACGACTTTATTGGTACAGGAAACGAGCGAAAAACAACTCATTTCCTGGCCAAAGCGACCGCAGAAATTAAAGGACACAAAGCAAGAGAACAGTATAGCAAATTTCTATTTTTGGACAAATATTTATCAGAAAATATATAATAATTGTTGATTGTCGTTTGCTAGGGTTCAGGAAGTCTTAACGTTGACGATATATTCTTTTGAACAGGAATAATATTCCTTTTCTGCATGCTTTTACCATTTTATGCCTCCATGTTGATATACAGGTGGCGAGAATTTTAGATTCAAAACAGTTTCATCAAGTATTCGAGTAGATATCGATTTCAAATTCGATATGAAAGAAAAAAACAAATTATTGGAGAATAGGAAGGTTATGATCTACTTGTTTCCCTTTGGAGTCACTGAGGCATTGAAAAGACGTAATGCAATGAATTCATGGGCGCCGCCGCTTGAAGGCAAGGGGGTGGCGTCAGGCCTTTAGGTCACGTGTCCGTGCGGACAGAGTGTCAGTATTTTAATCCGCATTCGCTTGCCGGTCGTGTGTTCAATTACCAGCGACTGCAGTCATTTTTCTGATGACCCAAGAAAATGTTTGGGATCACACGTTGAAAGGTAAGGCCCCCATCATTCCTTTTTCGCACAAGACTCTCGAAGACTTCTGAGGGTTGCTCGTAAGGGGGCAACCGAATGACGGATAGAACAATTTTAAAACAATTTTTTTTATTGTCTAGACGCGATATTTGGATGTAAAAAGATTTTGTGAACTATATTTCTGATGTTACCTCCAGCATATTGCTGAATTTATCGAATAGATAAGTATACGGATATATACATTCTTTTTATGAACTTCATTTGAATTTCATTCGATTCACCAAAGAGTTTCAATTTTGTTAACAGTATAGTTTTTCTAGAATAGAAACAGGTTTATTATTCTAATGAAATATGTTTTTTTCAATTGGTTCAATTTACTTATATACTTCAATGGTATATGTATCCCACGAGGTCATCGATTTTGGTCTTCCAGCCATGTATTCCTTATTCTTGTGATATTTTTGTTGTCAAATAATTAGTTGTTTTGTTTTGGAGAGTTTAATATATATATATTTTTAAATTCGTTGGATACTATATTTATCAACTGACCCCATACATAACCTCCTTCATATCCTTCTCGAAATATTTTTAGACCACACTCCGAGTGGAACTTGGTCAAAAGTGTCCTCTGATTTCAAATTATTGCAATGCTTTGAATTTCAAAAAATCGCCCCCTCCCCCTGATTTTTTTTCTGGCGGCGCCCATGGCAATGATCAATGAATACCTTATTGATAATAATAATGATATGTTTATTCACAACAACAACGATACAGCAAGGTAAATATACAATTTTGAGGCCACATAGGCTAACAGTGGGAGTTATAATAGAATACGGTAGAATTAGTAGGCGTAATTAAAATGAAGTATAATTAAAATCGAAAAAATCAAATAATACTATTATATGAGAAGTTGTTAAAATAAACAAAAAGCCCACAGGAACGCAGGGTTGTACGTGGGTTTTGTCATGCATTTTAATCATACAGGGTGTAAATTTGAAAACTTTCAATGCGAATATCTCGCGAAATAAAAAAGTTAGAAAAACGCCGCTTGGCAAAAATTCTAGAGAGTTAAGGGGAACTAGAACCACCATATTTCAGTGAAGGGATGAGTCACCCTGTCAGCGCAACACACCCCAACTTTGAAATGTCAAATGGCACTACCTCTTTTGTGATACCTCAGATAAACGGTCTCAGTCAGTAGTATTCACCTGTACAAGACTTTTTTCCCACCCACTACAGGGTGTACGAAAAACATTAATTCGAGGGTCTAAATTTGAAAACTTTCATTGCGAATATCTCGCTAAATAAAACAGTTAGGAAAACGCCGTTTGGCACAAATGCTACAGAGTTAGGGGGAACTAGAACCACCATACTTCAGTAAAGGGTTGAGTCACCCCGTCGGCGCGACACACTCCATCTTTGAAATGTCAAATGGCACTACCTCTTTTGTGATACCTCAAATGAACGGTCTCAGTCAGTAGTATTCACCTGTACAAGACTTATTTTCCACCCACTACAGGGTGAACGGAAAACATAAAGTCGAATAAAATAAAATGCAGAATGCCGATATATTCCAAGAGATGTGTTCCAAAACGTTAGAATGGCATTTGAACATCGATTATACTATTGCTTACAACAGAATGGAATGCATTTTGAACATCTGATCAAATAAAATATCCTTTTAACACAATTCATTTTATTTTATTCGACTTTATATTTTTCGTACATCCTGTAGTGGGTGGAAAAAAGTCTTGTACAGGTGAATACTACTGACTGAGACCGTTCATTTGGGGCGTCATAAAAAAGGTAGTGCCATTTGACATTTCAAAGTTGGGGTGTGTCGCGCCGACGGGGTGACTCATCCCTTGACCGAAATATGGTGGTTCTAGTTCCCCTTAACTCTTTAGCATTTTTGCCAATCGGTGTTTCTCTAACTTTTTTGTTTCGCGAGATATTCGCATTGGAAGTTTTCAAATTTACAGCCTGTATATATTCCAGTAGAGTGAGTGTGGATGAAAAAAGACGAAAGCTTACAATTCAGAATATTAAGAAGATGAACATGAAGATGACAGACAGAAAAGGGCTATTCATAAAAATATGTACATTGATTCACCTCTTGAACTATTTCGATTCATTGGTCAGTTTCCAGGGACAAAAAGTATCCAAATTTTGAATTGACTCGGCCGTTACTTGATGGAAATCCATGGCAAATGTAAAAACTTGACAAACGATAAGATTTCCACGAAATTCTCAAACATACGACATGTTTCGCTAACACAGTACAATTTTGTGTAAATCTTCTCGTTCGTAAAGTTTTCACATTTAAAATGTATTCAATACATAATTCGTTAATATAACATCATTTCAAGGGTAATACGTTGTCAAAATATGTACAGGGTTGCATTTCAGAACATTTCCTATACAACCGATAGTGGTGCAAAGTTCACCTATCAAAATGTTTGTTCAGTTCACTGTGAGATTTATTCCAAAGAAGCTGATGTTTTGTGAAACAATGAGAGGTTTGATCTAAGATTATATTATCCTCATCGTGAGCAGTACCTACTTCCTGTTACATTTCAAATTGAATGAATATGATTTGATTGAAGGAGAACTTCATTAGATATAAGATATTAGATATAGTATGAAATATTTTTAATACCGCACAATGAGAAATTGTATGAATATTTATTTTTGTTACAGAGAATTACGATGTTTACGAAATACAATACATATGAACCTAATGTGGTCCTATATGCTAACGTACTGCATGTGGATTCTGACATTAATATTGGTGAGTAAACAGAGACACGCAGTAGATAGTTCCTCCTGAGGCATGAAGTTTGTGTTTGAGTTTCAGTTAGAACTCGTTAGAAGTTCAAACTAACACCGATTATAATGATGCAAACAGATGTAAACTCAGAGTTAACGCACAATTTGACTATTTCAATGTTCGTTGTTTGGATCTTTGGATAAATGTTATATCGGAGGCAACATTCACAATACGGTATAAAGGGTTACGAGAAAGTATGAAAACAGGTGAATATCTCGGTAACCGGTCGTTATATTTTCAGAATTCATGTACAGGGTGATTTCAAAACGTGGCGAATTTGAAAATGATATCTACAATGTTGCCTCGAGTCCAGTTATTTGGGAATTATTATCAATTTCCTTATTTCAAATTGAACACAAATTTTCAGATTATTTTTAAAGAGCTGATTACAATCACGTCTAACAGAAGCTGAAATTTAGAACTTATTTAGAATATTTTTCATGTTGGATCAAACAATATGGTTAGGATGTTTTTTTTTCATGTTTTCTTCATCGATTATTATGTTATCTTAGGAATGAACAAGAAATACTTCCATTTATATTATCAATACTTCAAAAACGCCTTTCCTGGTAATTGAACCTTTTCGGATAATAATAGGAAAATTTTTGTCTTGCTCTAATCCCAAATGTATGCTTGGTTGACCAGAGACTTTGTTATGGTACCTCATTTCTGCATATATGTTCACGAGCATATATAGATTGATGAAGATCTGAAACATCTCCCATCCATCCTTCGGTAATTCTGAAATTCACTATGGGATATCTTTCAGTCTGCATCTTCATCGAAAATCATAGGTAGGACTCATCTACCAATATTTTTCTTTTTTGAAGCCATCATCTTGTACATATATCTCCTTTTTTTTCTGAAATCACTTTGTATTACAAATACAACAAAAAATACTTGCTATGGAATGAATTTTTATTTAAGTTTTCCTTGTGATTTTTTCTATTTAAGAGAACCTATCTAACCAATATTTCAGTTCAAGAATCTTCGAATCGTGAGACAAAGATTTCTTGACATTTCAAGCACTTGAGACAAACAGGCCAGAATGATATCAAATTATTAAACAAAATTGTTGGACCGTGAGACACGGCCTTTACGGTCAGGTTGAATTCTTTCATAAGTTCATCCATAAGTTTCCGAACTGGATAATGTCTGATATAATAAGTATGCGTCCTATGCTTTGTATACCTTATCTTGAAATATGTGAACTCACCATGACATACTGATATTTGGGTGAGCCATCTTCCCTAATAGATTTGGTATATGAGGTTCACCGAATAAAGAGGTGAGTTGGCTCAAAGAAGAAATCATCTTCACATGGAGATGAAGCCATATCATTGGGTGACTCTTCAGATTTCGTCAATGCGTGACTCTTCAGAGACGTAGTGACATTTTGAAGACGAGTTCATGAGTTGTGGCAAAAATTAGACGCAAACAGAAAAGACTGATGACTGGGTGAAGAGCATGCAGTTTGCCTGATGATTCCACGACACGTGCTAAATATTTGCTAACTTTCCTCATTCTTGTGGTGTGTAAAATTCTCAGTTTTATACTTCACTATTGCCTTTACCTCTAGTTGCGCCATCAAACCTACGTGTATGAGGAGATATGGTGTTTGGGTTATTCCTTCTTCGTTGACCTGAGAATGTCGCTCCACATTCAAATGATTGAAACATAATATATTGCCATGTTGATGATATTAGAGTATTGTCTGAAAAAATTAGCATTTATTGAAATTATTCCAAGTGATATTACGGTTTTTCAATAAATGTGGGTCTTCTATCCTCTATATATTCTATACAAAGTGGTCCAGGTTGAGAGTCATCAATTTCGCAAGATGATAGAACATCAACCAAGACGTAACCTTTCATGAAAAACTCTGTTGAATAATGTTACCTATGGAGAAGGGTGTCATAGTTTTGACACCATGTTTGAGTTATCGCTAGGCCACGTAACATTTGGAAGCATCTAAATTCATCATTATTATTGATGATTTCTGCTGCCGAACAGAAAAACTCTATTTTCAGATTGGAGGACAGCCCAGAATGCAGTATTTTGCTAGAGTTCACAATGTAATGATCTTCAAAAAAAAATCCAAATAATTCAAAATAATGTCTATACAGGAGAAACCTTCAACTGTTTATGTATTATCATAGTAGTTAGTGAAATTCTCCAAATTCAGATGGGTATCTCGAAAATGAAGTCACCAATCATGAATTTGAGCCTTATATAGAACAGGAAATCAGAAATTTGATTATTGAGAAGCACCTAAGATTGGAAAAGGGAGAAGTGGGTAAAAACACAGTCAATAACAACTCAGGAACTATTCTCGTCTCATGTTCATTTTTCACATATATCTATTTTTCACATATATCTATTTTTCACATATATCTATTTCTCATTCTCTCTTCATCATGATAGTTTAATTGTTTGGTTCCATCTGTTGTTTTGAGAATGTGACGAAAAATTGGAGAATTGATATCGTTCACCATTTGTCGCACTAGCTGTTAATTCTTCCCGCTTGAATGTGTTTGCTTTTATTGATCCCATGTGATTATTCGAGGATATAGAGATCGATTAATGCCGTGTGACCCTCAACTCATGCACCACTGCACTTGGTCTAAGAGCATTTCAGAGATATCTAACATTAGCGCTGGATTATCCTTGTCTTAACGATGCTTGCATCTGTCTAAGGCGCTATTAGCTACACCAATTCGTGTATCCGAGTTCTATCAGGCAGAGGATTATTCTAATTTTATTGAGTGATTGAACAAACCAATACTTTTTTTCGACTAAATTCCAACACTGGTAAATTATAGCCTGAGTAATAAGATTGCAAAGATTGAAAAATTGCACCTTGAAATTTGTTGAACAAGAAAGAGGAAAGTATCGACTATCGAGTACGCTTCTTCAAGACAATTGAGATGATCCAAAGTCACTTTATTATGCCCTCCACATAGAAATGTTTACGGAAGTGACGTCAGGATTGCTACAGTACCTAGAGAAATTCGACGAGAGCAAGAAGGATTCTTCCTCTAATTTATTTTATTTCTCATATTTTTCAATAGATCGTTAACCTCGAGCCTTCTTAGGGACGAATTATATGGGCATGAGTATTCATTCAAACATATCTCTCAATCATTTGCCTAATCACTTATTGATTCATTCAATACCTATGAATACTATGTCAAAAAGATTCTGCAACTATCTCAGTAAAATAGCGTTTAATTTAGGGTGACTTCTTATTTCAATGTCCGACCACTGAACATCAAAATTTACAATATTATAAATCTAAGAGGGAATTGCAATAATCTAACATTCTGTCGTAACGAGCTTGTTCCATGTAAATAACTATTTATCCATGTTTGCCTCACGATGAGGATAGATTGGGAGACAAGACAGGCAAGACCCTTGGCATCCTTATTCCAATCTTGTCTGACGTCTTAATCAGATTAGCAGGTATATTCATGCCACAGGATATTCTGGCTAACATACGGGACTTCTGAATAGTAATTAGCCTGATGTAAAAAGTTCCAGGTCATAGATTGGTTAGGTACTCTGCCCATTTCCTTGAAACTCACTTGTTTGATGATCACAAAAACTCCTTCATTTCGAATAGAACATTTCAATGAATCGACTGGGACTATTGACCTATGCTGAAGAGGTTAGAAGTGACTCTTTGATTGCATGCACCTTCTCAAACAGGATGAAAAAGTATGAGAGTGAAGAGAAGTCGACGAAAATTTTCACAATCAGTGAACTGCTCGACTGAGTTCAGCTTGCTACGAACAATTCGATACATCATATTATAACAATATTCGTTCGAAGGAAATGTCCCAGAAAAACGTACCATGATTTCTACAGGGTGAACTAAAAATCGAAAAAGACTGATTGAAATCAATTTCTATTTCTTCTGATGCATTGTTGGCTAGGATTCTTGTGAATTTTGAAGCAGCAAATGGAATCATATACGAAACAAATAAATTCATATACACCGTGTCCAAGACATCCTCATCATCTTGGACACACTGTATAGGTACGCAATACAATCTTTCACCGATATAACTCTGTAAATCTTAACTTTCGCCACTATAGTGAATAGTAAGGTATTTTGAAAATAGAGAATGTTATCCAAATTGGAAATTGTATTTATTATATTACCGATTTTTCGCTATAACACTATAACGCTCTGATGCAGTTCAACTTCTCGTAGTTCCTCAACAAATACTGAATTATATGAACAAATATGTCCCTTAAATTTCTAGAACTTTCAACCACTTTACTTTTTCGAAAAAAAAAATCACCTTGTAAGAAGGGTTCACGAGCTGCTGCGGGCTTATATGTCCTCACATCATCAGGTATCCGTAGACGACTAACGATTCTGATGGAACAAGTTTCCATAAGTAAGTGAGATGACTCATTGTTGTAAACGAGTATGACAAAGATGGTGAATGGAGAAGGGGTGGAACCTGAATGATATACTTGTATAACTGTGGTATGACATATTTTAGGATTCAAATGATTATCTTTCAAATTCCATCTTCTAACTTTAATCTTGTTCCATTTCAAATCTATAAGGTAACCTTCTCAAGACAGACAGAGTGATAAGAAAAGGTGACCTGTTCAAAAACGTTGACTTGTCACGTTCATCAGATGATATTGCGTGGTTAAAATGTTTCATTTAGCAGTTATACGATGTTTTTGTATAGAGACTTGTATAGCTGAATATTTCCTGGTGTACATCACCCTTCAGATTTCATGGGATGTTGTTCTGGGACACCTTGTATTGACAACGAAAAGCATCAATTTAACAATATATTAGGTAGAACACATAAAAAGAATTCCGTGTTTTGTGGACGGAACAATAATTTTCGATGTTGTCGAATGTCTATAATGATACGTAGTTGCAAATGTGCATGGCTTGAAAATGAAGGGTATTATTGGGGTATGAAACGTGATAACTGGGTTTCTTAGATTTCCAGGGTTGATTCCTGTCGTCACCGTTTACCTGGTCAGGTGATTTTTTTATATTTCATGCTTCTGTAGAACTATCAGTAGTGAGTAATTTTACCTGAAGGGCAAATCGGATCACAGAGTCAAGATGGTATTTGAAACAGTAAAAGTTTGTATGTTGGAAGGACATACATTATCTCCCAGATTGATGCTGCATGTATTGCTATCAAGGATATTATAAGAGCTACACAGTCGGTCAAATAGGCAATTCTCAGAATTTTATTACCATTTCAGAACTGCCATCAGATTTTTCCGATTGTTTTTTATCAAAACATACGGCACTTTTTCAAGTACTTTCGAATAAAATAAACGAATATCTATACCTACATTTTCGAGATAATGAAAATAACTTCGGTTTTTCTTATAGACGCAAGATGAGATTCTCATTGCATCGAATAGAGTTTTGAATCCTTCTTCCAAACATGCATCACAAATTATCATTTTCTCCTGTAAAAATACAGATATAAACAAATCTAGAAATTTCCATAAAAAAACAACGAAGTTATTGTCATTATCACGAAAAGGTAAGATGATATTTTATCTTATTTTCCATTCCAAAGTACTTGAAAAAGTGCTCATGAAATGTATAAGCCAAAATGCCTTTTTCAAATAACGGAGACACGAATGTTTGTCAAAAACGCATTATTTTGGATTCACACGATTATTTTGAAACAAAAAACGTTCGAGAAAATCTGATGGCAGTTCTGAAATGGTAAAGAACTCTGAGAAACATTGCCAATTGAAACGACTTTGTAGCTCTTATAATAATCGACATAGCAATACATGCAGCACCAATCTGAAACCCTGTATATAGCGTTCCATCTTGAATTCTGATGAAATTGGCAATGCTGCGAGTAACAGATTTCCATGTCAAGATATTTTTCGCATCGGACAAGATTGTTGAATTTTTTCGCATGTTTCAGTTCGAATGAATATCAAGTTCTTCACCGGATTGCTCTCAAAATTTCATAGCACTTTCCCAAATTGAAGACTGATGTACCATTTTCATTTCGCGCTCTTATACATGGTGTTTCGTAATATGTGAGACGCACTTCAAGAGGTGATAGAGAGTCTCAAGGAAAACAAGTTCCCATAAACTAGAGTCGTGAACACGTCGTTTGCGAGATACAGAGGTGGTTCAAGTTGAAGATAAAAAATAATTTTCATTGAATTTTTCGATAACCGCTGAACAAAAACTCTTGATATTCTGGTGCATAACTCAGTACGTGAGAGTTATGAGATGAGTGGCATTATTTAGTCAATCTGACTCCCAGTGGCACCGTTAAGGGGTATTGATGTGTGATTGTATCGGAAAAAACATTGGTGACGATGAGATTTTTCTTAATTCCAATCGAAAATATGGAAGAGGATGATGCAATGTTGTAGAAAGAAGCACCAAGTGATGAAACTCGTGAAGATACACTGTTTTCGGGAAAAACAGAATAACCAAATTCAACTTCAAATTTGATGTAGATATCCAAAGATGTCGGATATTTCATTCAAGACATCTGTTCACATCACTATATAACTCTTGCCACCACGATAAGCCATACAGGGTGGACATAAGAAAATTCCATAAACATTTTCAATTTCGTCGCAAACGAAGCCTTCTGCGACTTCTGTTTATGAGAAATTTATTTCCTAGAGACGCAGTATCACGCCTCGAAGTGCGTCCCACATATTACGAAACACCCTGTATAACGTACACAAGACCGGAGCACCTTCATAAAATCTATAGTCTTCATCCGATTCCTTTATTATTTCAGCAGTTCAACGTTTCCAGAAATTTGCGCAATATGGTGCTTCCAATTTTCAACTAGGTATCTCACCATTCTTCATGAATATTCCGAACAAGTTCTGAGAAGCGATAACATTGTCAATACAAATGTATTTCATTGAGGTTTCTGGTAGTCATTCAAATTATTATCACAAATCATCATCGAATTATATTTTCTACAATATAATCTAACTTGGTATTCATGAATATATTCAAGAAATAAAAAGAGAAGTACCACCCGAAGGACTCAAAAATACTGTTGAAAATATTAGAAGGAGATATGAAATATGTATCCGATTGACAAAAATTCGAAATGTATAAGATTAGGGCTTGATAATTATGGGCCGATATTATTCAACTATGTAATTGTTGAATTTACTTGTGAAATGGCTAAAATTCGATAATAATGGAATCAAAACAAACTCATTTTTCGATATAAAAATTCTTGGTTGATTATAATTGTGACAAGCCGTATTTTCGAAATTATGCCTTCTTTATTTCATGAATCTTTTCATGATTACCAAGATAAAGTCCATTTCAGAAGTAATAACTCGATAATAATTCGTGATGTTGATTCAAATGACTACCAGAAACCTGATGATGATTTTCAACATTCGTGTTGACAATGTTATCGCTTCTCAGGATTTGTCATATTTATAAAAAATGGAGAGTTACCAAGATTGAAGTTGTTATACTTTGTTGCCAATAAGAATTTCCCAATGAAATTTCGCACACAATTCAATTGAGGGATGCTGAAGACCGTGGTGAGGTGGATTTTTTGCTTCAAAAATATTGCTAATGACATTTCGAATTTCTAACACGAAAGAAATAGTATATGTATGCCCTGAGAATTGGAATTATATTTTACTTTTTGTGAACGAATATATTCGGATATTCTTTCTGCTGAAACAAGAAAAACAAGAAACGGGAAAAAACAATTCAATTTGATCGAAATGATGTCTCGATTGCCGTTAGAGAAATATTGAATGATTATTCATGTCCAGTCATGGAATATGTGCGGGTCGAATAAATCCTTGGTTTATGGAATTTACAATATTCTCATATTTTGCACATGTTCGCGGCTGCAGTTTTCCATTGACGTTACGCTCATTCAACTGGAAATAGACAAAAAGATAAATGAGGCAGAGCGAATCACTCGAAATGTGTTGAATCCAGATTGAATCTCTCACTGCACATCACCTTGTTGTACAATTCGAATTTGAATTTGAATAGAACTTGTTTTGCATGTGTTTATTTCATCTTTGTTTCTATTATCGAAATCAATATTTTGTGACAGTTACTAGCGCACAGACAGCCATCTGGAGGTGATTATAGTTTTCTCATTATGGGGAGAATTCGAGCTTGATTTTTCCTCAGAACAATGACTAATAGCTTCTCCCAGACTGATACCAAAAGACGAAAATTGAACCCAAACGAATACTACTAGACTGTGGAGTGTCATTTCAATTATTTTGTTCAATAATTCTGATTGTACGAAAAAAAGTGTTTATCTACTCCTATTAAATTATAGATCAATGATTCAACTGCCTTTGTACAATTAATAGTATCTGTAAACAAACAGCGTGAGTTATAATAACTCTCGCTACTATAACTCACTATAATACTTACATCGGGAAAGGCTCTTGGAATTATTTACGAACCGAAAATCAAGATGGCTCAGTACTTCTGTACAAGCCAGTTGGCCGAAAGGGAACAGTCCATTATTGTTATTGAGGGGAGTGATGTCAATTGAATAAATTTGACGTTTTCAAACTAGGCTGATACAATTATTGTGATTTTTTTGATGAATTCAGATAGTGATGATGGATTATCATTTAAATTTCCATATGGAAAATATCACTCACAAAGAATGGCATTGATAAATTTGGAGCAATGGGGAAAGACATTGCCACATTTCTGAAATTACCAGACTGTAATTTATATATACAGGGCATTGTTTTCGTTGCTCGTCGGCAACTTTATTAGTAGATGCCGTACGGCACTGAAGCACCATGGCGGTTGGCGATCAACTACTGTGGCTGATTCGGTGCTGAGGGGTACGTTGCTGATTCCGAAAAGAATATGACATATATTGCAAATGAAATATACAGTTCTATAACAGCTCAATCAGTTAGTACATCAACACCATATATTTATGCAACAAACACAAAAAGAAACAATAAATTTCCATAATTCAGTTCCACATATTCAGTTTACTGGTTGTTCAAACTTCACAGTTGATTTTTTCAATAAACAAAATGAGTGATTAAATCTAAAATTTGTATTAAGTATATTGAGATTTGTCAATAAAGTTCTTTCTCTGTACTTGTAACTTAGTATTTATTGTAATAGTCATAGATAAAGTATAGTATTCAACTTGCGGTAATGGTCATAACTCACTTGATGAATTACAGCACTCGCCTGTGGCTCGTGCTGCAAACTTCATCTGCGTGAGTTATGACCTACATTACCGCTCGTTGAATAATATACTAATATCTCAGCTGCGAAACTCTTTGGCGACCTCAAGATTATCTTGCCTCAGTACGCCAAAAAGTTATTTCTCGGCCTAGTAATACGAATGAATATTTTCGAAATCGATCTCGAAGATTTATAGGTTGTTAACCACGTCATGAAAATTTTCCGCGGTGTGAGGTTTCAAGAAAATCAAACCTTAATGTCGTTTCTTCGTGATTTTCAAGAATTAAATTAATGAATATGTTTTTTTGCAGGTCAAGTTTGGGTACAACTTATCAATTTTGTGTGTCTTCGATGTGATGCTTCTGTATTATTTCCACAATACCACATTTTTTTGGATGTTTGTCGAGGGTAGGTATCAAAACGTTAGAATTAGATATTTTCTATTTCCCAATGTTCATGATTTGTTTGGAATGATAATATATTATGTGAAATCTAACAGAACATACAGATACAGAATACAGATATTGACAACATTAATTTATTCAATGTAATCGAAGGCATATGTACAGTGTGTCCAGTTTTCGATGCTTTTGCATGATATCTCAGTTATCTTTGGAGATAGAACCTTGCGGTTTTCGCGGTCCTGTGCCACTTTTTCGTGAAACTCAAGATGGCCTAATCAGATTTTGCAGGACTGTTTCCGTTTATGAGATACAGGGCGATTTTGAAAATTTATACTTTTTGGACCCCCTCTATATCTACGAAGTTTATCAGCGGAAATGTCAAATTAAAATCTTAACCCATAGAGAATTTTATGGAGAATTCAGTGGCGCACAAATTTTTTTTTTTCGGGGTGTGGTTTTCAAAATACGACTCAAACTTATGATTTTTTAAATTGAACACCCTGTATTTTATAGGCTCATTAAATTCCTTATTTTTTTCCCTTCGAAATGATATATGATGTATGAATATAACATCTTCAAAAAAGTAAAAAAATCACTAAAACATTGAATTTTAATAGTGGGCTATGGGTTTTTCGAGGGATTTTCATAATAAAGAAATTTACAATTGAAGGAATATTTCCTTTGATTGTTCCATGAAGGGGAGAATAACAATTTCAACACTAATTAACTTGAAATACACAAGACTCAGATACCTGATATCCACAAATATATAGTAATGAAAAGTTTATAATGTAGAATGAGCACCTGATTGAATATTTACTAAAACAATTGGATTTCGAAATTATTCAGTGATTTATTCATTGAATTGTTCAAATTGATGTCCATTTTCCATCACAAACTTTCTCAATACATACTAAACATTGAAAGATGTCTTTGTAATTCCTGGAAAACTGCCTCTGTTGTTGCACAAAGTTCTTCAAGTATGTTGGGCCACTCACTGTATTTAGAAGTATTAAGAAAGTTTGTCAACTGTATGTTAGGGAAAATGGATATCAATTTGAACATGTCAATGAATAAGTTACTGAATAATTCCGGAATTCAATTATTTTAGTAAATATTTAATCAGGTGCTTATTCTACATTATGAACTTTTTATTACGATTTATTTGTTGCTATCAGGTACCCAAGTTCAGTGTTTTGTGAATTAATAAGTGTTGATATTGGTTTTGATCTCTCCATGGAAAAATTTAAAGAAATATTTCTTCAATTGGAACGTTTTTCATTAGAAAAATTCATAACCAACTATCAAAATTCAATATTTTAGTGATTTAGAGCAATTTTGAGAATTTTATATTCATTCGTTATATATCATTTTGAAGACAAAAAAATAAGGAATTTAATGAGATTATGAAATACAGGGTGTTCCATTTAAAAAATCATAAGTTTGAGTCGTATCTCCAAAACCATACCCCGAAAAAAAAATTTAAGTGCGCCACTGGATTATGCGTGAAATTCTCTATGCGATAAGATTTTGATTTGACATTTTTGTTGAGAAACTTCGTGGATATAGAGGGGGTCCAAAAAGTATAAATTTTCAAAATCGCCCTGTATCTCATAAACGGAAACAGTCTTGTAAAATCTGATTAGGCCATCTTGAGTTTCACAAAAAAAAGGCACAGGACCGCGAAAACCGCAAGGTTCTATCTCCAAAAATAACTGAGATATCAGGCAAAAGCATCGAAAACTGGACACTCTGTACACTCCTCTTCAGTGAACTTGTGGCGGTTGGACGGTATGAGCGGTGCAGCGGTGATTAAGAGGGCTGACACCGTCCATGTGCGACATGTTCTCTGAAGACGACTGTACATGCTATGTATAAGATAAAAACAATTCTGATAACCAGAATACCTATAGTTCTAACATAATCAAGTATCTAAAGAAAACATTGATCAGTTCTATATTTTTTCCTCATTCATTCAGTTACTGAGTGCAACCACAACATATAGACGAAATAAATCATTAGCATTCCTATATTCCTGAATTTAGATAAGTATAATGTGATGACTATTTGAATTTAAGGTCTCTACCTTTATATACTCGTTGTAAGGACCCTAACTAGAGAAAACTTCAAGCTGAGGGTCTACGTATGCATAGGATGGGGTAAGTCACACGAAGATAGTTTGGTAGAAATAGGCTGTTCAAAATAGAGGTGATGGATAGAATATAATTATGATGGAACTACTCCCATTTTGACGTGATCAACAAATTTTTTGATACAATACAAGTTCGACTCATGTTCAATTTCCAAAACGGATTGTTTTAGTTGCTGAAAGTCATGAAGCCACAACGTTTCGTTTCCGATTTGTAAACAATTCTGACGAAATATTAGATGAAGAGTGAACCCACCATATATTATTCAATTCATCTCCGTCAAAACAACTTGGAGTTTGAATTGTTCATTCTTCTTAGGACTGCCTTTGATCTTCCTGATCATTTGGGGAGTGGTGAAAAGCTTCGTCCCGGTCGGTAGCGAATCAGGAAGTTCAGTGAGTATTTCTTCCACAACAAACACACCACATTCCCGTTGTTTGACCTTTGGTCTATTGTTGAAACCAGTTTTTCTTACAGTGTCGATGGTTCTCCTACCATGACATCGATTGGATCTTCCAGGTCCCCACGCTCGTAGTCCTCCTACTCAACTTCATCTTCCTCATCAGCATCATGTGGGTGTTGATTACCAAACTGAGGTCGGCTAACACTTTGGAAACACAACAGTACCACAAGGCTGCCAAGGCTCTACTTGTACTTATGCCCCTCTTGGGGATACAGTATGTCATCATGGTTTATGCGCCCAAGTACAAGAAGTCTTCAATCGATGTTTTCGAATTAGCAAGAGCTATTCTCATATCTACGCAGGTGAGAGAACTGGTAGTTTATCACTTTACACAGGTGTCAGGTACCTTTTTTTTTATCGCTTGGAGCGCACGAAAGGAAATCCCTATAATGTTCGTTTTTGCATTCATTTTAGTGTTGAAAGTCCTCATTAGTGCGGAATAAGGTGGACTTTTCCGCACGCTTGTGGAAAAGTATTATTTCGATATCGATATCCAGATTCTGAACTGAGAAAATGAAGTTCAGATGATGATGAATAAATATTCAGTTAATCCTTCCATTTCGATTCGTCTGAATAGTACTCCATGTATATCAGAAACAAATAACTTGCGGACATTATGGAAACTGTTCTCTTTAATTTGACGTCAGCAATATATTATGATGCTCCCTGATTTAGGTACTACAGGTATTCGAGGAATTCCCTGTATACGCAATACACAGGGTGATTCAAAATTTGATGTGAATGGTTTGAGGGCATCTTGTTGGAATCCAAATGAGACTTTTCTCGAATTGATCATTCTAGAACACGTGATTTTAACATGGTTTCTTGAGGGGCACACAAACTATCTGTTAGAGGTTACCTTTGATGAGCATAGCCCTGGTTATCCCTGCCACATCTTCATTATATTATCAGTTTCACCAAACACAATTATAGAATTCTATCTGGTTCCAACTCGGATTCCAAGGGGAAAGATCTCACTTATTCTGATTTTATATGACATATCTTGACAAAATACAATGTTTGCTCCTCAGCAACCTGTCAAATGACGTAATTCTGGAATGATTTATAAAAACATGTATCCTGAAATGCACCCATCACTCCGAGCTGAATTGCCCTGATGTAGGAATCGCAGCCCACTGAATTTGTTATCTTGACATTGTGAAAATACCCTCTTCAGCTGATAACGATTTTCTGCTCAGTTTATACAGGGTGATCCACGGTGGATGGCCTATTAGAAGTATCTGGAGAACGAAAATTGAGATGCTTTGATGATTGAACATTCTCTATCCGTCTAGGATATTTTCATCGATACAGTGTTGCCACTTTTATCAGAAACAACTAGCAACTTTGTTCATTCAAATGAAACACCCTGTATTTCCTTGCATTTTTAGATTCTTCCTGAAGAGCTGAATGCATCAATGCATCACACTTGGGGTCTAGCAGGAATGATTACAGAGATATTGGGTGTTCAAAATTGAGATTTTTCAATTTTAGGATTTTTTTGTGTCGAAACGGCTTACATGTCCCTATCTTGACTTGTGATTCACTATCTACTGGAATTTAATTGGAAAATATTACACGGTCCTTCATCAGGATTCAGAATTCTGATCACCCTGTATCTGTTCCAATTGAATCTTAGTAGATAGTGAATCTAAAGTTGAAATAGGGACATGCAAGTCGTTTTGATCGATAATGAATAGTTTCGACGCAAAAAAAATTCCTAAAATTTGAAAATCTCGCGATTTTGAACACCCTGTTTCTCTGTAATCATTCCTGTTAGACCCCAAAAGTGATGCATTGATGAAATCAGCTCTTCAAAAAAGAATCTGAAAATGGAATAGAATACAGGGTGCTTTATTTAAAATAACGAAGTTGCTAAATGTTTCTAATAGAAGTGCCAACACTGTATCGATGAAAATATTTTGGACGGATGAAGAATATTCAATTAACGAAGCACCTCAATTTTCAGAATGTTCTGTCTTTTCATTCTCCAGATACTTCTAATCGGACATCCACCGTGAATCACCCTGTATAGTATCGAAAAAATGCAAGATACAATATCCATAGACTATATGCTTTTCGATTTGATAGTTGATCTATTCAATCTTGAAATTTTGACACAAACAAGTGTGGATCCCCCTCCAACTTCTCCGAAAGTGGTTTCACATATTTTTGGGAGCAAAAAGGTATTCAGTACCTAAGAACACAGAAGCATTTCAATTTCCAAAAGATTTCACTCATTATAGTCAGAATATCAGATTAACTTTTTTACGTAAATTACCTAGTGGTAGGTGCATTTTCAAGGACGCATGTATTGAAAAAAGAGTCTCATCCTGATTTCAGCAATACGTCGAATAGAATTTACAAATCATTCTCTAACTCCTGGTTGAAGTCTGTATATTATACTATCGATGTTGTTGCTGTTGATAATACAAATTAGAATATTGTTGATTGAACTAGTCCAGCATGAAAAGATAATAATAGATATTTTCCTGTACAAACACGCAAACACAGTACGTACATGTTACCAGGGCTATGTTGCTATTCAAATGCTTTTTCAATCTCATATTCCATATCCAAGAACTTACGGAAATCACTTCCAAACAATTTGTTCACATTATTACAATTTTATCAATATTTGCATTGCGATATCTAATTAGCTTTTATTTATCTTCAGGAAGTTCACAAAATGATTAGTTGATTGAGGAATATCAGCAAGTCGAATATTTTTTGAGCAGTATATCTGTCCATAGTCGAGAGATGAAAATAACTTTCCGAAGTATGTTTGATGAGAAATTCTACTAGAGTTTGTTTTTGCATTCTCAAATGAGGTTGGCTGAATCAAATTAGATTTCAAATTGAGATGATATTCAACCTATTTTCCTCGAGAATGAACGCGGAATGAGAAACATTAACCAGTAATTGAAGTTGTTAGAATGAAGTTATCTTCTTGATGCCATCAGGATTCTCGTTAGTATATGCCCCCGAAGATCAGAATTATTATAAGATTGCTTCTCATACACTCAGCAATGATATTCACATCATCAACATGGAATTTGATATAGATGACAACGTAAATGTGAAACATGGTATATGGCACGTATCTCAGGGGATATTTAGCAGCCTTTTACACTGAATATGGAATCAAATTTATTCAAATTAAATGGATAAAACGTAAAATATGTCAAACTATGCAGGAGGAAATGGATCAAATATCTGAAACTTTGCAATTACACGAAATGCTTGTTTTTGTTGATTCTGTACTTCAAGATCTACCAAAATTTGCACTATAATATACGGGGTGTCCCATGAGTGTGTTTCTAGTTGAACCAGGAGTATACTCTATCGACAGAAACAATCAAGCCAGATGCATATTGCGTCATAACACTTGTCTGCAAAGTATAAAGGAATTCGACGTTTTCGTTTCAGAGATATTCACATAGTTCCGTACTCTTTTCCATCCCTGTATACAGGGTGTCCCTCCGGGAACTGCATCGATCAATTGTATAGAAAACCATAGGTGGGCCGAATTTGAAAATTTGGGAGTTCACTATTGTTGATAAGTGCTATCCGGCTGAGATATTTCGAAGATCTTGGTACTTCCGGTTGTGTCGGAAATGAACCCAAACTTCGTTATTTCATACGGGACACCCTATATATCATCAAGGTTTTAGATTCTCCGCATGATTCTGAACATGTTTCATGTATAATGTTCCATACCCAAGTCTAAGCGTTTTCGAAATATTTTAAATTTCAAGTTGAAAATTGCCTTTTGGACCGAAAAATATTGTTTCTATTTCTGGACATGATCATTTATTTTCGATTATGTATCAATTTATTCGTAGGAGAGGACCAAATTCAGTAGAATTTTGATATCAATTCGAATACAGTTATACAGGGCCTTAACCAGAAAATGATATGGATCCGGTTGAGAAAATTAAGTCATATTTTTCAAAGGACACCCCCCAATTTTATATTCTCATTTGATTCGTCATCGGAAATGAAGCTAACTTTGTGTGAGGTTATCTATGCCTAATACACTCAACACTTTTCGAAATATTGGCGAATTAACAAGTCTCAGTTCCAGAAAATATCGTATTCTCGAGTTTACTTATTCTCAGTTGGCCATGGCTCCCGCAGTTGCGTTGGAAACAATCAACTGCCACCAAAATGTCATTGTAATAAATCATGCCGGCTCGTTTGAATTATTCGAATGAATATTACCCAAATCTATTCATTATTTTCAATTGAGACATGTCAATTCGCCAGTATTTCGAAAACTGTTGAGTGTAGGCATAGATAACCTCATTCAAAGTTAGCTCAATTTTTGATGCCGAATCGGATGATAATATAAAATTGGAGGGAATCCATTTGAAAAAATTGACTTGCAATAATTTTTTCAACCGGATCTATATCATTTTCTGGTGAACGCCCTGTATGACTGTGATCGAATTGATATCAAAATTCGACTGAACTGGATTCCCTCCTACGCATAAATTGATACACAATCGAAATAAAATGATCATGTCCAGAAAAAAATAGTAATTTTCCTAACAAGTGCGGAAAGTGATTCTTTCCCGCACGTGACTGCCGTTGACACGAACGACGCGAAGCGGAGTTCGGGCAAGCAGTCGAGTGCGGGAAAGACACTTTCCGCATGAGTTAGGAACAATATTTTTTCTACAAGCGTAGGAAATTGATTGTATCGTTCAATTAATTATTCAAGCAAATAGGAACAACTAACAAGAGATATATATTTTCTATCTATTAATTTTTAGTAATAGCTATTGTGAACTTACAGTTTGACGCATTATGTTGGTTCATTGCGGAAGCCAGCAGGCCCATTAGGAGTTTGGTCTCTAGGTTCCAGACACTTATATGGAATGAGCCAAAAATACCTATTCTTCATTCGGTTTTTTCATTTCTTTATTGTTGCACCATTCAATTAAACGCGTGTATAGCTTCTCATACCTTTCTTAAGACTTCGTTGGTGATATTAACGCATCTGTATCAAATCCCTATAGCTAGAAGTTTTTGATCACATTGTGGCATTTCCACTGAATCGAAAATGACAGTAACGCTGTGTCTGTCACTTCGACAATTTCAAACTTATTGGAGGTTTGAATGGCATGACAAATTGACGTTTGCCGTCAGATCAATCCAAATCTATAGGGTGATTTTTATAATAATCCATTTTTATTTCTCAATATTTCTTAATTTTTACAATAAATAGTGCAATTTGATGGATGATTCTGAACATACAAACTTAATACTGCAACAAACAATCTTAAACTTTTATATTCCATCACCAACCACTTATATTACTAGCGATTATATCATATCTTTGTTTTCCCGCACTAGTGCGGGAAAAAATTTCCCGCACTAGTGTGGGAAAATTTTCCCGTACTGTTGCGGGAAAATGACACTTCCCAAACTATATTGCGTGCGGGTATAGGGTGAATCACGCACGCTTGTAGAAAAAATATTTTTCGGTCTGCAAACGCAATTTTCAACTTAAAATTTGATTTATTTCAAAAATGGTTAGACTTGGGTATAGGACATTATACAAAGAACATGTTTAGAATCATGCATGAAATCTAAAACCTTGATAATATACAGAGTGTCCGTTTTGAAATAAAGAAGTTGGGGTCCAGTTCCGGTACAACCGGAAGTACCACAATCTCCAAAATATCTCAGCCGGATATCACTTATCGACAATAGTGAACTCTCAAATTTTCAAACTTGACCCACCTATGGTTTTCTATTTATTGATCGATGCATTTCCCGGAGAGACAACCTGTATATAATGTCAATCAATTTTGGAGTTGATAGTTAATGTAGAGCCTAGACCTATTAGAGAACGTAGCCTCGTCTTCACTCCACTACGTTACGAAAACGTCACAAAAATGTCACAAAAATTTCACTAAGGCTTCACACAAGCGTCAACACATCTCATGTTTTTTCGACGCTTTCGGACTTTTCGAGCGTGTGTGGCATTTGTAACGTTTTCGTATCGTGTTTTCAAGTTATTTGACGCTTTTTGATGTTTAGAGCATGAATGACGTTTACGTGACGTTTTCATGACGTTTGCAGGCTCGAAAATTCTGCTTAGGGAAAATAAGTGTCGATAGAGCCTGTGCTCTCATTGGAGCTCTATTGCAGTTCCTACTAACATATGTCATGAAAAGCATTTTCCTGTCTGAGATATACGAAACTTGTAACACTGTTCTAGGCAAATCAACAAAATCATTCGGAGTTTCCATTTCAGATTTTCGATATCTAGTGACGCAGTCTCAGGTAGTAACTTAATAATAAATTGGCCAGACTGTGGTTTTAATTGAATCACTAGATTGTCCCAATGTGAAACCGATGCTTTATTTTGACACCATTATTCAAACTCCTGCCAATGTTGCACTGACATTAAAATTTTGTAACCAGTTGATATTCATTTCGTTTTCAAATTCGTATGTTTCACTCATTACTGTTTGTCAATACATTGTCATTGATTGTATGAGTATTGCACTTGAAGACGCTATTGTGCTGAGAATCATGCGTAAAACTCAGGTTTAGATATCTTCTTAACTTATCTGCCCTATACATAGATGAAGTATCACAGTGTGGATACTTCAACTAGAATGAAGTCGCTTGCTAGAAAAATATTTTTTTGACAATCCCCAGAGATATAATATAATACGTCAACGATTCAATGTATTTATCTTCATTCTGCAAGCGATATCGAGAATATATATGTATAGCTGATACCACCCTCAACATGTTTTTTCAAGCGTTGATCAGTATATGCGTACACAGGGTGGAGACTTCGACTGGAATAAATTCGCTAGCAAAAAGGTGAATGATTTTTTTGGATATTCACGAGACATTGGAGTATATTCACTATTCACCTACATTTTGCGAGTATTATGAAGAATATAATCCTCCATGGGTAGCTGAAATCAGCCTCAACATGTGAAATCGAATTGAAAGTTGAAAGAATTCGACCATGATTCTGGAGTAGGAGTCATATATTCATTTCGCCAGTGAAAATATTCCCTCGAAAGAAGCGCCACCTATTATCTTCTTATTCGGCATGTAGTATAGTTCGTCTTCTACCCGTAACACGCGAAAGTATGAGACGTGATCGAGTAAACAAAAAAATATTGATAATATCATCGATATCGATAACATTGATGGATATCGATAATATCGGTAAAATCGAGAATTTTGATGATATCGATGAACCGATAATATATATTGATATCTTGTGATTATCGATAATCGATAATCCAAAAGGACCAGAGTTTAGATTCTTCATGATGAAAAATAAATGAAACTCAGCAGCATATAACAAAATCTTACCATAAGAGAACTCTAAGAACACATCAATTGAGCGAACAAAACAAATTTCATAGCAAATATCACTATCCTTCCTATAATTTGACACCAAAATTCAACGAGTTTCTCGTTTTCCTGTCTCTCTAATGTCGATTTTTTTTCGCGAGATCGATATGTTTGTTATAAGGCTCTGGCGAATGATACACTACAACCCATGAATCCTCGCTGTGTTCTTCAGAAATGGGACACACTTGTCCTAAATCAACCGGCTTTCCCAAGTCGCCCCGTTTTTGACAGTACTGCGAACTCAAATTTGGTCAGTATGCTGGATTTCTGTTTCAACCAGCTTCTCAATGAGGAGTCACAATTGAATTTTCCGAAAACTTCTTCTACGACTACACTTCAGGATAGTACACGTGATGTGTTGAGTCAGTTTGAGCTAACTGCGTGAAAAAGGTACAAATTACAATTCTTTTATTTGTTTATCGGTGAATTGCATAACTATATAGCCATTTCCCTCATTTTTTCATCTAATTTTTTCATATTCACTGTGCAGTTTTGGAAACTAACAGAATATTTTCCGAAGTTTAGTTTCCATTCATGGAGTGTAAAAATATCTCATCTTCATCGCTGGACATTTTTCAACTCAAATTGAGAAATTTCAACTGACCATCATCCTTTTCAGAAAATATTACATGCCTGCTTTCGATTTGGATTGATATCCTGATGAGAATATAAGTACCTCCCACTATACTGACATTGAAATTGACACAAGGTTAACTGACATTGTTTTGTGTACAATATTCGTCACCTATGATAGTAGTCGTAGGAAATAACGTTTGCTTGTCTCGTGAATTTTCAGAACAATCATTCACCTCCCCGCTAACGAATCTATTCCATTTAGTGTCTCCACCCTGTATGTATCTTCGTAGGTTTGATGGCAACCAATTATGGAAATTTCATATCATCCAGTCTCCTTTATACATGAAAGACTGATCCGCCAATTTTCCCCGCATGTTGATACAAATCACGTTGTACGAGTCTTCCCTACGTTCCGTGCGATCCCTCATGTGTATCAAGACAGCATTGTCGAACAATATCATTATAGGATCCCCTTTGTTTCTTTAGCAGAAACATATACCCACCTGTTCTCTTACCATTCGGGATCGTATTGTTCGCAGGGATTCACAGTGGCGTTGTTCTATTGTTTCCTGAACACCGAGGTACAAAACGCCGTCCGACACCATTTCAACAACTGGAAGACGAGAAGATCTTTGGGTCCCAGTAGGCTGAGAGCAGGCAGCAGAAGCAGAGATTGGTCGCCACGGTCTAGGACTGAAAGCATACGGTAGGTGATAACAATAGAAAATGTAATTCATTCATGAATCACGATCCAACATTCCTGAATGCCAATAAACAAGGATGAATGCTGGATGAATGAATGAAATGGCAAATAATCATTGCCAGAGAATGAGTGCTAACATTTTCATTCTTACCAGCTAACATTAGTGAAACGTGAGATCAATGTCAAAGTGAAAAATACCAAAATTTGGCAGGATAGCCCTGAAGGCTGTGGTCTGTTTTTTCGAAAATATTCGGAAAAAATATGTAGAATAATTGAACAAAAAGACAACGTGAAGTTATATAAACCTTTGAGCAGACTTACATTTTTTACTCCCAATATGGAACTTTACGACCAATTATATTTCACGCCTTGTTCTCAATGATCAAATGTAGTACCTCTGTTTCCCGCGACCGAACACGCAAATTTTAAAGTAAACGTAGACTCTCACCTCTACCCACCTTCGACCGTATGTATCTGCCCATCTCTACCTAATGATCTCATTCTTTTGTTTTGCGTGAAACTGAACACATCGTTCAGACTCGAACTGAACAAGTTTAAATAGAAAAATGAAACATAAGAGATATAGAGAAAGTTCTTCATCATCATCATCCTCCTCCGATGATTTTGAGGGTTTAAAGATGGAAAACTACCATTTGAGAAGGAAACTAAAGAAGCTGAAAAGGCGACAAGATCTCAGACAAGATGGCAGACAGGTATATGCCGATAACGGTCACCCTGCCCAGTTTACTGATTCCGAATATTCGGATGGCAGTGGAGACAAAGAGAACGGTAAGTCAACGGGCGGGATGCCCGAATTTAGGTGAGATACCTAATTATTTAGGCGAGATGCCTATTATATCAGGCGAGATGCCTTTATTCAGTTGAGGCGAGATGCAATCAACTGGTTGGATGAGATGTCCAAATTTGAGTGAACCGAGTCTCAAGTCATATCATGTTTTTAGGTGAGAGTGCCGCGGTCCAAGAAAACGATCCCTTAAGTATAGAGTTTGTGGAAGTACCACTTGATGATAATATAGTTAATGCCCTTGGGGGTGAATTCGAAGAAAACTCAACCAAACAGGGTGAAGAGATTCATCCTGATTTAGCAAAGAGATGGGAGGCCATCTTAAAAAAGGGTTTAGATTCCACTTCCAAAGACATTTTGATGAAGAAATACCCAATACCAAGTAACTGCCTTAGTATTAGTCCCCCTAAATTAAATCCAGAGATCAAAGTCGCTGCCAGGGACACAGCAGTAGCCAGAGATGTTTCTCTTGAGTTGGTACAAGCTCAAAGTGGAGCTGCTTTAACAGCAATTGGTAATTGCCTGACAATTCTCATCAAATCTGTAGAAGATGAAACAGGGGGGGGAGATAAAATAGAGCTCATTGAAACCCTGAGTGATTCTGCCAGATTAATTGCTGACCTTCATTACAATCAGTCAACAGCTAGGCAGAACCTAGTCAGTCTAAATTTGGACCAAAGTCTCAAGGACATGGTTGCAAATACATCTTTAGATGGTTTTCTGTTCGGTGAAAACCTAACAGAACGTATTAAGGCTAATAAGGCTATCGAGAAAGCTGGGGTAGAACTTCGTAAGACATTTAAAGCTTCTGAGAAAGTGGTGTATAATAAAAATACACAGAATTTAAACTCGAAGAAGCCACTCAGGAAGCAATTTCACCTGAGTGGCAATCATCACAGACAGCATCAGTCGGGTCACAAATGGAAATCTCATCATCATTACCACCAGAGTCATCGAAGTCCTCAAGCAAGAGAAAAGAGCTACAAGAATCGTCGTCGAACATAGTCAATGTGAGTTTTAAAGCTGGTCAGCTTCAATATTTTATTCAAAAATGGAGGTCAATTACAAGTGATCCAGTTATCTTGTCCTGGGTAAAAGGATATGCCTTACCACTCAAAAGCACAGTATTCCAAAAGGAAATACCACCTAATCAAGAATGGTCTAGATCAGAACAATACCTCATAAATAGAGAATTATTGCACTTGTTAGAGATAGGTGCAATCCAAAGATGTGAACCATGTAAGGGACAATTCATCTCTAAAATATTTTTAGTGTCAAAACCTAATGGCAAACATAGGCTGATTCTAAATTTGAAATGTCTTAATAATTTTGTAGAGGTGAAACACTTCAAGATGGAGAATAAGGACTCCGCTGCCAAACTTATAACTAAAAATTGTTATTTGGCATCCATAGATCTCAAGGAGGCTTATTTCTTAGTTAATATCAGAGAGAGTGATAGAAAATTATTAAGATTCAAATTTAACAACACTCTTTATGAGTTTACATGCCTACCCTTTGGATTATGTAGTGCACCATATGTTTTTACTAAGCTTTTGAAACCTGTCATACATCTTTTACGATCTCAAGGCTTAATGTCTATTGTGTACCTAGACGATTTTTTGTTAGTGTCAAGTTCATATGATGATTGTGAATCTAACATTTTTATTACTTGTAACTTACTGCAGGACCTTGGATTTGTTATCAACCGTGAAAAGAGTCAGCTACTACCCCTAAAATGTTGTAGATTTTTAGGGTTCATATTCGACTCTGAATCTATGTACATAAAACTGCCTGATGATAAGCAGAATGAAATAGCTGTTTTCTTAGAAAAATTTTATGTGGGGAAAACATGCTCAATCAGACAATTTGCACAAATGGTTGGGAAATTAACTGCAGCATGTCCAGCCATACCATATAGTTGGCTATATACAAAAAATTTTGAACGTGCAAAGTTTATTGCCCTTCAGAATAGTAATGGAAATTTTAATTCTCCCATGACTATATCTGGATCCCTTCATGAGGATCTCTCTTGGTGGAAAAGTCATATTTTTAAATCAGGCAATAACATCAATATAAGAAATTATAATTTGGAGATATTTTCAGATGCTAGTCTCTCTGGTTGGGGAGGGGTATCAGATGGTCAAACAGCAAGTGGCAGCTGGACAGAAGCTGAGAAGTTATATCACATTAATTATCTAGAGTTACTTGCAGCATTTTTCAATCTAAGATGTTTTGCAAAAAATAAGAAAAATATCAACATTTTACTTAGGATTGATAACACCACTGCCATATCATACATAAACCGAATGGGTGGAATTCGATTTCCTAAGCTGAGCCAACTAGCAAGAAGAATATGGCAGTGGTGTGAATCACGAAATCTAATTTTATTTGCCACATACATTTCTTCAAAAGATAATTATAAGGCCGATTCGGAATCTAGAAGATTACCATCTGAAACTGAGTATGAGCTCTCTACTTCTGCCTTTGCAAAAATTGTAGAGAAATTTGGGAGACCATCGATTGATTTATTTGCATCCAGGGTCAATGCAAAATGTGAAATGTACATATCCTGGAAAAAAGATCCAGATTCAATAACTGCTGATGCTTTTACAGTGCCCTGGACTGATTTTTACTTCTACGCATTTCCTCCCTTCAACTTAGTTCCCAAGGTTCTCCAAAAAATCATCTCGGATAAAGCAAAGGGAATTGTGGTTGTACCTTATTGGCCCACACAACCATGGTTCCCTTTGTTCAATAAATTGTTAACTTCGTCACCTTTAATACTAAATCCCAGTAAAGACTTATTATTGTCCATTAATAGGTCACCACATCCATTATGGAAGAAGAATTCGTTAATGGCAGGGATCTTATCAGAAAAGCTTTTGAATTGAAAGGTTTTCCACCTGGTGGTATCGAGATACTACTGGCTTCTATATCAGCTTCCACTATGAGGCAGTATAGCAGTGCTCTGAAAATGTGGTGGTCATTTTGTAAGGACAATGAACTCAGTATTTTGGATAAAGATATCCCCTCGATTTTGAGGTTTTTGACAGAAAACTTCAACAATGGTGCAGCTTACGGTACGCTAAACAGCATGAGATCAGCTCTGGCTCTTCTGATCTCTCCAGATGTCGGTTCTGATCCTTGTCTCAGAAGATTTTTTAAAGGTGTTATAAATAAGAGGCCCAGTGTCCCTAGGTATGACCATACTTGGGATCCAAGTGTTGTCCTTGAGTACTTAAACAGGTTAGGTCCTAATGACAATCTTTCATTGGAATTACTTTCTAAAAAACTAGTGGTCCTGTTAGCTTTGACCACTGCTCATCGTGTGCAAACTTTATCACTAATTAATATCAATAATATAATTGAAAAAACAGGTGGGATCCTAATAAAAATCCCAGACAAAATTAAAACTTCTGGGAAGGATAAATTTCAGCCTCTCTTGGATCTCCCTGTGTTTCAGGAGAATCCGAATATTTGTGTTGTAAGCACAATCAAGTTTTATTTGAGAAAAACTTCTTCATTCAGAACAAACATTTCTAGGCTAATTCTTACTTATAAAAAACCTTATGTGGCAGCTTCAAGCCAAACTCTTAGTCGTTGGATTAAGAGTGTATTAGACAAAAGTGGCATTGATACAGAGATTTTCAAGGCGCATAGCACTAGACATGCCTCAACGTCTGCTGCAAAAATGAAAGGGGTTAATATTGATGTAATAAAGCGTACCGCAGGCTGGACTAACAAGTCAAATACCTTCTGGAAATTTTATAATCTCCCAGTTAGAGAAGATAATGAATTTGCAAAGACAATTTTGAATCTAGGCCTATGATGTCATAGGTTTGAAATTAGTAATCTAAGAGGTAATACAAAATTTTGTTTGTTAATGTTAATGTGAAGTATACCTATTCATTTTGTTTACATATTGTAGCAATATGGTGCATTAAACTTGTTCAGTATTTGTTGCGTCTCAACGCTTTCAACATCTACATTTGATCATTGAGAACAAGGCGTGAAATATAATTATAAGATCAAACGAACTTACCTTAAGTGAAGTTCGATCTTAATTATATGAAACGCCTTGTTCGAAGATGATCAATCCCTCCCATACCCAATACGAATTAGTTATGAATCTCGTAACCTGCTCATACGAGGAGATAACCCGTGATCATCAGTTGAGACGGGCTTTGAAAGGAATGAG